CCAGACATCCGAGATGACACCCCATTGCTGGACCCTGACTCCGATCTAGTTTGAAGTATGTTGAATTCTGTTCTCAGTACTGACAAAGATGCTGCATTTTCCGTAATCTCGCGCCTCATTGAGGCAATTGAAGCCGTGTGCGTCGCCAGTGTCGCCTCCATGGGGGCCAGGCGTGCAGTGAGGGTCTCGTTCAGTTGTATCCTCTGGGCATCAATCATCGCACTCTGAGCGCCAGCCCACCAAGCAGGGGGCTTGTCATCCGTTCTGTCACCACTGCGGCTCCTCTGGTCCCCACCTCTTCGCCTGCTGTCGACCAGGCCCGAGACAGGTGGCTGTGCCCGCTGGGGGCCGAAAGGTCCAGCCGCTGTGTTCTCCTCCATCCTGAGATCTGGGAAATCAAGGGAAGATAGAGCACTGTCGCCGTCGATACTGTGGAACTCACCTACGGCTGATTCTGATAGCACACTGGGGGGTAGCTTTCTACTCTCCCACGAGGGACTTCTCTGAGTATTCCACGCCGTCTTTGCAAATGATAGAAAGGATGTGTACACCGACAATCAAAGAATGATAGTGTCCTCCAGCAATCTCGACCTCCAAAGAGTGTGTACGGTACTCAGGCAAAATACACTCTGCAGCAACGCGTACGGGAATAGGAATCAAACAAAGAATGAGTGTGTACGGTACCCAGGCAAAATACACTCTGCAGTAACGCGTACGGTAATGGGAACCAAAGAAAGCAGCACGGCACAATGCCGCTCGAGACGAGGTCCCCGGCGGGAGCCCCCAGCCGCCAGACCCCTGAGGAGGGAGGCACCTGGTTACCGCCGGAACCCTCGTAGAGCTCTTTTCTCGCACGACGCTTCTCGAAAGACGTGCAGAAGCGAGAGTCCAAAAACTCTGAAAGGAAGAGAAAAAAAAAAAAAAAAAAAAAAAAAAAAAAAAAAAAAAAAAAAAAAAAAAAAAAAAAAAAAAAAAAAAAAAAAAAAAAAAAAAAAAAAAACGTTTTTGTTTTCCCAACCCTCCTGCGCTGGGCACTTGTTTTGAATAGAGCACTGCGGTCTCCACCTTCCTTCCTTCCTTCATTCCTTCCTTCCTTCCCGCCTCCCGCCCCCACCTTCCTTCCTTCCTTCCTTCCTTCCTTCCTTCCCGCCTCCCGCCCCCTCCCGCCTCCTCCTCTCTTCTCTGGGGGGCTGCGATATGCGAAACTGTCGCCACTTTCGAGGGCTGCTGGGGTGGCCAGCGGAGTGACGCCCTACGGGGATTCAGATTAGACCTCGCCATCCCTGGGGGGCTGCGATCTGTGAAACTGTCGCCACTTTCGAGGCTGCTGGGGGGCCCAGCGGAGTGACGCCCTACGGGGATTCAGATTGACCTCGCCACCCCTGGGGGGCTGCGATCTGTCAAATTGTCGCCACTTTCGAGGCCTGCCGGGGGGCCCAGCGGAGTGACGCCCTACGGGGATTCAGATTAGACCTCGCCATCCCTGGGGGGCTGCGATCTGCGAAACTGTCGCCACTTTCGAGGGCTGCTGGGGGGCCCAGCGGAGTGACGCCCTACGGGGATTCAGATTAGACCTCGCCATCCCTGGGGGGCTGCGATCTGTGAAACTGTCGCCACTTTCGAGGGCTGCTGGGGGGCCCAGCGGAGTGACGCCCTACGGGGATTCAGATTAGACCTCGCCATCCCTGGGGGGCTGCGATCTGTGAAACTGTCGCCACTTTCGAGGCTGCTGGGGGGCCCAGCGGAGTGACGCCCTACGGGGATTCAGATTAGACCTCGCCATCCCTGGGGGGCTGCGATCTGTGAAACTGTCGCCACTTTCGAGGCTGCTGGGGGGCCCAGCGGAGTGACGCCCTACGGGGATTCAGATTAGACCTCGCCATCCCTGGGGGGCTGCGATCTGTGAAACTGTCGCCACTTTCGAGGGCTGCTGGGGGGCCCAGCGGAGTGACGCCCTACGGGGATTCAGATTAGACCTCGCCATCCCTGGGGGGCTGCGATCTGTGAAACTGTCGCCACTTTCGAGGGCTGCTGGGGGGCCCAGCGGAGTGACGCCCTACGGGGATTCAGATTAAACCTCGCCATCCCTGGGGGGCTGCGATCTGTGAAGCTGTCGCCACTTTCGAAGGCTGCGTGGGGGGCCCAGCGGAGTGACGCCCTGCGGGGGCTCAGATTAGACCTCGCCATCCCTGGGGGGCTGTGATCCGTGAAACTGTCGCCACTTTCGAAGGCTGCTGGGGGGCCAGCGGAGTGACGTCCTACGGGGACTCAGATTAGACCTCGCAGGCGCTGGGGGGCTACGATCTGTGAAACTGTCGCCACTTTCGAGGGCTTCTGGGGGGCCCAGCACAGTGGGCACCCACGGCGGATTCAAATGGGACCTCGCCATCCCTGGGGGGCTGCGATCTGTGAAACTGTCGCCACTTTCGAGGCCTGCTGGGGGGCCCAGCACAGTGGGCACCCACGGCGGATTCAAATGGGACCTCGCCATCCCTGGGGGGCTGCGATCTGTGAAACTGTCGCCACTTTCGAGGCCTGCTGGGGGGCCCAGCACAGTGGGTACTCACGGCGGATTCAAATTGGACCTCGCCATCCCTGGGGGGCTGCGATCTGTGAAACTGTCGCCACTTTCGAGGCTGCTGGGGGGCCCAGCACAGTGGGTACCCACGGCGGATTCAAATGGGACCTCGCCATCCCTGGGGGGCTGCGATCTGTGAAACTGTCGCCACTTTCGAGGCTGCTGGGGGGCCCAGCACAGTGGGCCCACGGCGGATTCAAATTAGACCTCGCCATCCCTGGGGGGCTGCGATCTGTGAAACTGTCGCCACTTTCGAGGCTGCTGGGGGGCCCAGCGGAGTGACGCCCTACGGGGATTCAGATTAGACCTCGCCATCCCTGGGGGGCTGCGATCTGTGAAACTGTCGCCACTTTCGAGGCTGCTGGGGGGCCCAGCGGAGTGACGCCCACGGGGATTCAGATTAGACCTCGCCATCCCTGGGGGGCTGCGATCTGTGAAACTGTCGCCACTTTCGAGGGCTGCTGGGGGGCCCAGCACAGTGGGTACCCATGGCGGATTCAAATGGGACCTCGCCATCCCTGGGGAGCTGCGATCTGTGAAACTGTCGCCACTTTCGAGGGCTGCTGGGGGGCCCAGCACAGTGGGTACTCACGGTTGATTCAAATTAGACCTCACCATCCCTGGGGGGCTGCGATCTGTGAAACTGCAGCCACTTTCGAGGCTTGCTGGGGGGGCCAGCACAGTGGGTACTCACGGCGGATTCAAAGGCTGCTGGGGGCTGCGATCTGTGAAACTGTCGCCACTTTCGAGGGCTGCTGAGGGGCCCAGCACAGTGGGTACTCACCGCAGATTCAAATGGGACCTCGCCATCCCTGGGGGGCTGCGATCTGTGAAACTGTCGCCACTTTCGAGGGCTGCTGAGGGGCCCAACACAGTGGGTACTCACCGCAGACTCAAATGGGACCTCGCCATCCCTGGGGGCTGCGATCTGTGAAACTGTCGCCGCTTTCGAGAGCTGCTGAGGGGCCCAGCACAGTGGGCACTCACCGCAGACTCAAATGGGACCTCGCCATCCCTGGGGGGCTGCGATCTGTGAAACTGTCGCCACTTTCGAGGGCTGCTGAGGGGCCCAGCACAGTGGGCTTCCCGCACGTCTTTCTCCTGCTCTTCGCTCCCGTCTCCCCATGTCCTCTTCGAGCCTGTAGCTGTTGCCCTTCTTTCTTGTATGGTTCTCCTGCGCATCATGCCATAGGCGCGTGTCCCAAGTAGCTTACATATCAAACAACGGATCCTGCAATTTGATTGTCCATGCAAGTTTCGGTCAACTCCTCGTTTCCCATGATACAAATGGGTTGGGTACGTCACAGGGTAATTTATTTAACGTCGGTTGCTCCAAATGTTTTGATAGTAATACTGCACCTACGGGCCTGAGAATTTCACAGGCGCACGCGTCATAACCAACTACAGGTGCGAAAAATCTGGTTTCTGAAAATGAATCGTCAAATATCTTTAAAATCTTGGCAAAACCGACCCAAAATTACCACATTGTCTCTTCTGGCCGGGTCGACCGACTAGCTCCACCCCGCGCCGGAATTCTTCCAGCTCATCGACTGGGAGCCGGCGGTAAACCATCAACCAGGTTACCGCCAGGAGCCTCGTAGAGCTCTTTCCTCGCACGGCGCTGCTCGAAACACGTGGGGGAATCTTCCTCACACGTGAGCTGAAAACTCGAAAAAATACGTTTGCTTAGTTTTTAGACAAAGACGGTTCCTTCAAGTGTTTTGATAGTCATACTGCAGCTACGGACCTGAGAATTTCACTGGCGGGCGCGGCATAACCCACTACAGGTGCGAAAAATACCGGTTCTCGAAACGAATGTTCAAATCCCTCAGAAAGTTCGCCCAACCGACACAAAGTTCACACATTGTCCGCCCGGGCCGGGTGGGTCAACTGGCGCCGGCGGTGAACCGTCAACCTGGTCTTTTTTTTGCGTCTTTTGCGAAGGCCGGTTCGAGCTCCCATGGGGGCAGGCCTAAACACGAAGAACCTAAACAGCGAAGCTGTACAGGAAGACAGCGAAGCTGCAAAGATTTAAGCAGAGGTGCATCAAACAGCGAAGCTGTATAGATATGCACAAGACTGCCAATACACGAGAAGACAAATAAAAATAGAAAGAGGGAAGCAAAGCAGTGCGAGACCATGCAGTAACCACATAGAGCGATTACCGTCTCAGCACCACTGAAAATAAAAGCAGTGTAGTGTCGACTAGATCAAAGGCCTACTTGTAGGCACCACGCGACAAATCACGGAAAGTCACGTTCAAAGGTCAATGAGCACTCAAATCAAGGAAGCAACGAATGACCTACTTTGAGGGATCTAGCGAAGCTCTTATTCAACACACGCGCATGCACGACAACACACACAGGCATGAAGAAAGGCAACGCAATGACAAATCAAGCGTGCAGGATCAATCACATGTCCATCATCTGTGCCGTTTCCGATGCTTCTTGCCGCTCCGCGTCAATGCACTCCTGGAAGTAGAACTCTGAGGACCCCCTTGTTGCGAATCATCCTCCTCGGAACTTTCAATTCCCAATTGCAGCCTGTATGCATTAAGAGCCTCAGTCCTACGCTGAAACTCCTGTGTCGGGAGTCGGTGTAGCTCAAGCCAAAGAGCCCTTACATCGACACCGGCAAGGGCCCAGTCCCTGGCAGCTTGGCACTCAGAGCGTGTCTCACTCGGTCGATCTGCAGAACTCCCATTCATGGAACTCCCTACTGCATCAGCTGAACTCCCAACTGCAGAACTCCCAGCTGTTGAACTCCCAACTGCATCCTCAACTGCATCAGCGGAACTCCGAACAGTGGAACTTCCTACTGCACTCCCAAGTGTTGAACTCCCGACTGCACTGGAACTCCCGACTGCATCAACTGCACTCAAAACTACGGTACTCTCCACCGCACTCCCGTTGGTCGTATGCAATTCTGAAGTGTGCAACTTTGTACTCTCGATAGCCTCCGCTCGTTTGAAACAATATCTCTTCCACGCGTGAGAGTGCTTAGCAACTGTTTCACTATGAACATTATCCTCCTCCTCGTCCTTGCAGCCAGGGTTCGATGCCACAGCATCAGCTGAACTCCAAGCCGAGGTACTCCCAACTGCAGAACTCCCAGCTGTTGAACTCCCAACTGCATCAACAACTGCATCAGCGGAACTCCGAACTGTGGAACTTCCTACTGCACTCCGAACAGTGGAACTCCCGACTGCACAGGAACTCCCAACTGCAGAAGCATCACCCTGATCTGCGCGCACTCGATGACACTCCTCCTTCTCCTCCTCACCAACAAAGAGAACACAAAGATCAGTCTGAGTCCCACACTCAATGTGAACACAGGGATCTGTCTGAGTCCCACAATCGGAACACTGCGAACACAAAGAGTTGCCAGCCAATTCAACAGCATCCATATCAGTCTGTGTTCCACAAGTGTCCTCAACCCACTCCTCTTCCTCAGAATCGTCCGAGCAGAAATTCCGATAATATCTGGGCGCGAAAATGCCCGCGCGAACAAGGCACGACGGATCTGGCCCCCGAGCCGTGGACCACAAACGATACCTGACACGTTTCGCCCGCAGGCGGCGCAACTTCGATTGAGAAACTTTAACACCATGCCCATACAGCTGGTCTCGCTCACGCATGCGAGACTCACCTCCGTACGAAGGGCGAACACGGCAATATAGATCACTAACACACACTTCGACCGTAGACAAACGAGCAGACAAACAAGCGAGAGACTCGGAAGTAAACAACGCCGTATCTGTCCAATCTGAAGCAAGAAAATCCGCGCCTGACAATTCAGATGAAACAAACTCCACATATAAAAACGTGGACTCGCTCTACAAGAAGGCAAATCACAAGCAATAACTAAATGGACAGTTGAGATAACCAAGGAAAATGCTGTTCCAACGATAATCCGACAATCTCAACAATTATATGCACTCCGACGACAATGGGCCTGGACAGGCCTTCGACAATCAATAAGAGTGCACGGTACTCAGGCAAAACAGACACTGAAGCACCGTGTACGGTAAAGAGAACCAAACGCCAGGCACGGCACGATGCCGCTCGAGGAGGCCTCCGACGGGCCAGGTCGCCGCTGAGATCCCGAGGAGGGACAGCAGCAACCTGGTTTTTTGGGTTTTCGGACCGATGTTCCAGCTGGGTCAACTGGCGGCCAGAATCTGCTGCGCCAAATGCACAACAGCGCTAGTAAGCGCCTCAGCAGCACTAAGTTCGGCGTCGGTTATCGTAGCACCTTCCAGGCACCACGCGGCTTCGCACACATCCCTCCAAACGAGAGGCATATTAGAGGACACGGAGTAGGGGGAGGAGGAGGGGAGAGGAGAACACGAGACACTCTTATTACAATCATATCTATGATTGATGAAACCCACTTGAAGCCAAAAGCCGCACCCCGTCCCTTTGCTGCAAACTCCCCCATCGTATCCACCACGACAGGCGATAGGTTGTAGAAAGTCCTCAAAGCTAAACATGTACTCATACTGGTTGTAGAAGCAGTGGCCCTCGCGGGCCAAATGTGTAAGTTCATCAGCCCGTGTGTTGTCTTCCCTGAATTCATGCCTATATAAATCTTTCCCCAATCCAGAACTTCGAATACCCAGATCCCCCGCAGCACGATCTAGAACGTTAATGCATCGGTCCACACGTCTCTGGTATTGTTTATTGTCGCATCGCCATCGTCCCGTCAGCCAGTTATTCACAAGTAAACTATCCCCTTTGATTTCTACCCCGAATCCTGGACTTACAATGTCCCACACCGTCTGCCTCTCGTAGATAATCGCCAACCTCTTAGCAAGTTTTTGTGTATCTTTCTCACTCGGTATACGCTCAGTATCCCCCACCATCTCGGGAGGTGTATAGTACGCCGCTGTGCCCTTCCAGTTCTGAACAAAATACAGGAATACCTTTGGTTTATCGTACATGCACAAAAGATTCTGCCACATCTCCAGGAAAGAACGATAGCTCGTCTCGACACTCGACCACCAGGAGCTGCCATATGTAAGAATGTATGGATACTGCCAGCTACGCTGGCCCACTCTCTCTGGACCAGCCCTCAACCTCTTGATCGTGGATGCCTGAGTACGGTTGCCGTGTAGTCGGCAACATTCTGCCATAATGTCCCTGCGCGTTGTCCACTCAACATTGTACATGAGCAATCCCCTTCTGCTGTCCACGAAAGCTCTGTTATCAGGACTGCAGTGATCAATATCATGAGCTGGGAGGGAGAGTGTGGGCAGTAGAGCCGCCGACCCACTCCCTGAATCAATATTCTCAGAAGCCAAAGAATCACCGCCAAACCCTTGTCGTAGCCCCTGCAGTCGTCGTCTCTTCAAGGTCTGCCTGTTGAAGCTGGCGTCCTGGGTCGCAATGTGCCTGGCGAGCTCCTGTGAAACATCCTCCAGCCTATCACTCAATGCAATACTCTCAGCAACAACTTGTGAGATGACTCCCGCGAAAGATTGCGAGGGTGTATCAGCAAATCGTACTCTCTTCTGGGAAGGCCCAGGATCAGCAGCAAACGTGGCGACGTGTGCCTGGGGTGTTCCCTCGCATTCGGGGCTTCCCCAGGACTTGCGTCCTGACGCCTCCTGCAAAATTTGGCGACGTTGCCTGAGGTGTTCCCTCGCACTCGGGGCTTCCTCAGGACTTGCGCTCTGACGCCATTGAACATGTCGACGGTGACAATCTGACAAGATATACTCCTTGATACTTCTCATCATCGTCCAGCTCTTCCAAGCAATCATCTGTACAGCTGATGGGAAATTGGCCTCAGCGAAATGCTGTCGCACCTTGTGGAGCATCTCAGGGCGCCAGACACCCCATGTTAGCGAAGACGGCTTGCGACGGCACCACATACGCAGCAGACACATGCCCTCAAAAGCATGTATGGTTCGCACCGCCTCAGCATCAAGCGTGAACATCTCTCCCGCATATAGCAGACGCGATTGGACCTGAGCTTGATAATATTTGTGTTTCAGCGGTACCGATCTGCATCCAAAATATGATATCTGAGCGAAAAAGGATCCTCTGGCGCATTTAAGTCGATGTGCTAGGTCCTCGTGTCCCTCGAGAAAGCTTTTACAGACAACGCAGCCCAGAATAGAAAGCGACTCCACCGGTGTGAAGGCAACTCGTTGATCTCCGACTTGGGCCAAAATCGGCGTAGGGTCCTGGGTCCCGCATACGAGTATCTGCAAGGATGATGACTTCCAACTCATTCCCCAGTCTGCTAAAGCAATGGTGAAAACATCAACGATCTTCTGGATTTCCTTAGCATTCCTCCCCACAAGGTACAGATTATCAGCCCAGAGCGCATGGTTGTACGTGTGGTAGGTAGCGGGGTTGTGGGGGTCGGGGATCTCGTACCCTATGTTCTGAGCGTCCAAAGAGGCAACTACAGAGGCCCACATGGCGATAACCACGATGTTGAAAGCAAGCGGGCTCTCAGTCCCACCCGTCCTCAAGCTCTTATCCCAAGAAACCCCATCCAGTTGGATCCCCTCGAAGACGATGGTGCAATTTGTAACAGCGAGCGGCTCGATAAGTGCATATTGTAAGCGTGCTGGGATCTCTAGTTTATCCATAGCGCGTGCAAGCATACTGAGCGTGACATTGTCGAATGCTCGTGCAATATCTGCCGATGCAATATGTGCGCTCTGATCTTTGCCCCATATAGAAGCGTGCTGTGCAATACCTTTAAGTGCGGCCGCGATCTCCCATGTGTGCCGTCCCCCTGCGAAGCCGTAGATTCCCAACTTACTTTTCCAGAGAGCCAGCCTGTCCTCGATAAGAATAGTGACTGCCGTGAGGTACCACTTGCCTAGAGTGTTGGAAACTATCAAGTTCCTGGTGTCATCCAGGGACTCCATGTTGGACATCTTCGGCATGAGATTCAAATACACATCACACCATGAGCTGGGAGTGCGCCGACGACCCGAATATATTTCCTGAAACACAGCAGTGATCCTGCGCATCGAGCGCCATGGCAGAGCTTTGAGTAACTCAATGCTAACACCATCGGGTCCACAAGCTTTCCCGCTACGAAGGCGGGCGCGAGCTCGATATATGACGGAAGGCGTGAGTGTGGGGCCAACTGCTTGGCTGTCAAGTGCTGCGCGACGGAGACGTGTAACAAGCTGTGCATTACGCTCACGCTCAGCAGAACATGTCACGGTACGTACAGCATGTGCCTGCACCTCCTCCTCCCAGGCCTCCCTGTCCTCCGTAACAATACCATCCACCTTCAGCTTACGAACTCTCGTCCTCTTCCCCCTCCTCGTCGGTGCTATTGAATATTCAGCTTTCTGTCGATTGTATTCGTCTTGCAATGGTCGGAGTTGCCGTCTAAGTTCACGCTGTGCTTGCCGGTTGCCTTTATGTTCACGAACTTGCTTCTCAAGTAGGGCATGCTGTGGGGTCCTCGCAGGGGGTGACCTCTGGTGTCCAGGAGCACTCAGCAGGGGCAGTGCGTGATCCCGAATTGTTCTTGCCATCTCCTCTGGGCCTACTACAGGCACCTGGATATCCACCAAAGCTCGAAACATATCCTCCTCCCTATGGCTCTCGAACTGCTTATGGGCAGTATGATGCCTAGGTGCAGGACGGTAACGTGATGTAGGCTTCGCTGCAACATTCATCTCAACACGAACGAGAGCATGGTCGCTGAATCGGCTGTCGTGAGCCTCATACAACATGTCCACTCTACCGTCTACAATCATGTCAGACCAACTGGTGGGCACCATGATGTAATCAAGCACACGGGGAGCCGTCTGCCTGCCTAAAGGTTCAAAAGTAGGCACCCTCTGAGTCCCTAGTGTATTTGTCGCGCAGAGCCGCATCCGCTGCATGAAGCCCTCCATCTCCTCCCTCATGTGATCTTCCCTCCACCTCCTCTGCTCATGATCCCCCTTCACACCGTACCCTCTATGCATAGCAATGGACAGAGCTTGGCCTGTGTGGACCCCGTACCTGGTCTCCAGTCCAGGCGTCAACTCCACTTGGCAGTCCCCCGCCAGCACAAGTCTGTACTCGGACCCATTCTGCGAACAAAAGTGTGCAAACGTCTGCCTAATATAACTAAGCATACTCTTCTGAACATCAAGTGCATCATCACGATCGCAATGCGGGAAATACGCTGACACCAAGAAAACACACGGGCGCCTAAACACAAGTATTGAAATACGGTCTGTCGAAAAACTGGCTTTGATATGATGACGTTGTTGCCCTCTGATCACAACGCCAGCCTGCTTGCAAGTAGAGAGATAAGATTCCCATCCCAACTTTCTAAAACTGATCGAATTATGTGAGAGGTTCTGGCACTCCTGCAGACACACGATATTTACCCCCAGTGTCGACAGTAGGCGCATGCAACTAAATCCCCTGTCCTGACTCTTGCCGATCTTATTCACATTCAAAGTCCCAAGCTGCATGAGTAGGGAGTCAGGCGACCCACTCTTAGGACCCGTTGAGCCCCGTCAACGACTTGAATTGAGAGCGGCCGTGAAATCATCATACGTGCATGTGATGTTTGTGTTGTGTTTAATCGTGCCATCCCATATGTCACGATGTACTTCCCAGTTGCCCGTCGTCACCTTGAATACAGCAACCTCAACCGGTC